GTATGTAATAGGCATGTGACTGTATCTATATACCTAACTTAAATACCTGTATATCTATAATTACATGTTCCTACAGTGGGAAGCCCCGCCAGCCGAGGCGGGCGCGCGCTAGCGTTTACAATTACTCTTTAGTATATTGTATGAGGGGTGGAGGGGCTGACAAGTGAGGAGATCCCATTGGTGAGCCCTAGGTCCCTCAACTCAGGCTGGCAAGGGAATTGTTGGGCCTTCGTGCCTGGAGCTTAATACTGCACCTCCTAAAATTATCAAATGTTCCCTGATCAGGGTTTAGGGTTTAGGGTAACCCTAAATTAACAAATGTTCCCCAAATTATGCTTGGATCCCTTATGTGATCTAGGGACCATTCATACACGCCCTCAAAATAAGCGATGTTGTGTCTGCAGGGTGAGGAGTATAATGGCCGACCTGCAGCTGCCGCAAGAGAAGCTCGTAGAAGGCCACTTTGTGGGCGGGGAAGTGCCCTGATCATGAGTTAAGTTTAGGGCTTAGGGTTGAGGGGTTGGGGGTCCAGGGCTCCTGCGTGCTGACTTGAGGTCTCAACATCTGCATATGTACGCTTCATACATACGCTTATATGGGTGTAGGTACATATATGTATGTTTTCGTATGTACAAACATACACATAATAAACATGTGTATACCGCTCCCGTGCAGCGATTGTACGTTTGGTGCTATGTGCTTCCCAGCGTGCACACCAATGTAAGTAGTTGTACAACCCTGTCCAAGCGAGGACTTCCACTTGGACGCATGTGGATTTCCCCAAATCTCTGAACCCTCTTCTTGTGCTCAAGAGGGAGTGACGAAGTGAGGGTAGATAGCATTATGCAGAGACAACTATCGTGATCTATTCCCGTATTCAGTGCTAAGCACCGGTAGAATCAGAAAAATCCATGCGAACCGCACCCTGATACTTCCCCCGCCCTACATAACCTGGACTTCGATCTTATTTGGATACTAAACGCCATGCATGACCCCAGTACCTGAAATCTTGGGAATAATGGCACTGTAGTATACTGTATACTGAAACCATGCAGCGATGTCAAATTTCCACAGTAAGAAGACGACCATGCAGAACAAATTGGCCTTGCCTTGCTCCGTAATGCCTTCCATTGGCTGAGCCTGCACCAACGCAAGCAGGGTAGGGTTTCGGATTCAGGGTTGTGTGATTATCAGCGCGTCCCAACCTAGGAACCTTGAAAGCCGTGACCCACAAAACCCTCAACCGCAAAAACCCTCAACCCCAAAAGCCCTCAAACCCCAAAACCCTCCATAGCAAAACCGCAAAGATTCACGAAGGAGGCCTCTGAGTTCTTTGAGAAGGGCAAGGAGGAGGCTTGCGTTGTCCTCAGCTCTATGCTTGCCGATTTAGACTTGGCACTCCTGAGTCGTACAGCCAACCTCCGAACGGTTTAGGGTTTAGGGTTTAGGGTGTAGGGTTTAGGGATGAGAAACTTGGCTACTGCCCCACCCTGTATCGTCCTCGAAGGTTGGACTTGGAGTTGTTCGAGTTGTTGTTATATGCTATATTTGACTGCTAATACATCCTATATATGACTGATACAGGGTGTGGGGAGTGTCCAAACCATATAAGGACAGATAGGGATAGCATGGATGGATCCGGGTATACATCTGTATATGTATATATATATATATATTTACAGTGGAAAAAGGGATATGTAAGGGCTTTGCGAGTCAGCTGGGACGCCGCGCCCGGCTGCAACTTCGACTGCCATGGCCTTGTTTGCTGCTTTTGACACAACTTTTGCTTTGGTTCCTTTTGGGGGGCAGAGTTACTGAAGTCATGTTGCTAATCAAACCCTAAATCCTAAACCCTAAATCCTGAACCCTAAACCCTAAATCCTAAACCCTGAACCCTATTCCTTCTTGGGTCTTCGCATAATAGAACGTTTAGGGATCCGAGTCTACAAATAATACCTACATTGGACCCTAAAGTCTTCAAATATTAGCTGCGTTAGGCTATTTGGATTAGGGCAAGCTCCAAGATCTGGCTAGCCATGAGGCAGGCTTGGATTGCAAAACCCTAGGCCCTAAACCTTATAGTCCCCCTTAAGTAGATAGAATATGGGGTATATGGGCATCTTGTTGTAATCTACCCGAAAGCATATTCTATCTACTGAAGGGGGACTATCACCCTAATATATACCTCATTATAACATAATAGTTTCCATTTTCTTTTCCATTATCCCTATAAAAACCCTATAATATACCCCAAATTCTATCTACTCAAGGGGGACTATAACCCTAAACCATAACCGCGGGCGTTGAGCAGAATTCCTGGGCTGTCAGGCTCCAGCGCAGCCGTGACAAGCAACAGCACCTCCTCCACCTGAGAGTGTGTGTGTGTGTGTGTGCTTTTTTTCAGCGCCTCTTTTACCCGCTAGTTTAGGGTTTAGGGTTCAGAGGGTCTAGGGTTCAGGGTTTAGGGCTCAAGAAAGACAGCTCTCAAACGCGGTGAGGGAATTTCACGAAATTATGTCCCTGTCAGCCTCACGAAAAATCCAGCAATAGGACTCTTCCCCAGAAATCCGCACGGCCCAAAATAAGTACCTGAACCCCAAAAGTAGGTAAAATAATAGCCCAAAACACCAAAATATAGCCCAAAAGGTAATTATTCTACATACTTTGGGGGGTTCAGGTACTGTTTATAGAGCTTGGGGCCCGATGTAGGTATTTGCTTGGCAGCTCCAGCGTGCTGAGCGCCTTGCTCCTGACTTACACCAGGCGGGTGGTAGTCGTATCAGGCGACCATGCGCTGTCTGTGTCTGCTGGCACTGTTGTGGCTGACAGCACGGTTGGTAAGCATGTTTGTTCAGGGTAAGCTGTAGTCCCCTCAGACCTATAATGAGATACTGTGCTTACTAGTTCCTTATAGTTAGGGTTATATTATAACGAATATGAGAAAATCATTCCTAAAGAGACTACAGTGAATGCGGCCGGGCTTGTCGTTACTTTGTGTTGCTTCTTATGGGTGCGTACCAGGCCCCAAGATGGTTCAGCTTGCTTTCAGTACTACTGTGGACACTGGCCTAGTCCTTGCTGGTCTTCTGTGCCATGTCCCTGGTTGCATTGCTTCAGCTGCATAGGTCATGATGCCTCCCCCTGCCAAAATGCAGCAAGACCTGAAGTGAGTCATCAACAGCTCTTGCTTGAATGCAGGCATGCTTGTACCCTGGTGACTTCGCACCCGCCGCAAACAAGGCAAGTGCAAAGTCCAAAACAGGACGAACCAAACAAGAAACAGGAGAAGGACGGGGAAGAGGAAGCTCTGCGACCCTTTCCGGATCAGGCCTTGTAAGCCAGAACACTAAATTCTGAGCAGTAGAACTTAGATTGGCCTAGCATTCCTTAAGGCGAAGGATCCCCTATGTGGCTGACACTTGAAGCTTCAGGCGCAGGCAGATGTAGCGTCACAAGCCCTTTGAGTACCTTACTTATGCAACTTACAAGATATGAGAAACCTAGTCCCTAAACCCTAAACCCTAAAGCCTCAGCTATAAAGGCTCCCACCGACCTTCAAGTACCTACTGACTGAAACAAAATTAAAGCTCACTGCTGCAATATTGACCTTGTCTTGGATAATAAGGGGATTTCAGTTTCCCCCGTCAGGAGCCTATAGCTATCATATGACTATCTTAGAAATCCTGATAACTAAACCCTTAACCCTAACCCCATAAACTCCTAAAGCCCCCTCATTAATATCGGCCTGCCCTGGAAGGAGGCTTAAAACTACTGCTGGAGCCTACCGTTGGTGTTGTAGCTATACATACGCCCAAAAGGACGCCCAAAAAGCCGAATACCCTCTTATTAGGGAATGCGCCCTATTTCAAACGAAGATCCCTAATATGATTTACATTACATTCCTCAATTAACACAGATCGGGCTTGCTGGGTGGCTTCTTCATGGTCGTGCAGGCTGCTGAAACGCTTGTTCTCCCAGACACGCTGGCAAGACTCTCAGCTAAAACACCCAGACACTGAATCCATGTCATGTTCCATGGTCTTTTCCACCCTGTTCGCGGTTATCTTGGTAATATCCCTAAACCCTGGACCCCAAACCTCAAACCCTAAGCTTTTTTCATAACCCGCCCTGTTGCAGCTGCATTTGGGCCACAAGCTTCTCAGCCTTGCGCACGCTGCAAGTGATGCTCCCCTCCCCTAATAACATCCACTTTAGGGTTTAGGGTTTAGTGTTCAGGGTTTAGGGGCCCCCCATAATACATGCGCCTATATTGGAGGGAATGTTTGCTATTAGGGAGGTAGGGGGTGATTATTCTGAGCTGATTACGTTGGTTTAGCGAGCGGACACTTCTGAAGGATAGGCACAAATTGGGAATATCTGTTGTCTAGGGCGAGGGCCCTAAACCCTAAACCCCTAAACCCTATTGGGGTCACAAAGCAATTGACGAGGGGCAGTGGCAGCAACGCTGGCCGCAAAAGACAGGTTGCAGACCTTTGGACCGCCCGAAAAGCAGGGTTTAGGGAATAAGGGAGTATAATCCCTATATAGTTTAGGGTTTAGGGTTTAGGAGTATAATCCCTGTATACTATATTCTTGTATTCCCTACTAACCCCCCAGTAAGACATCTAGGACTGAGGGTTATGGGCTGAAAATCAAATAATGGAGAAACCAAGTGGTAGTATTCGCATCTGTGATATTCAAGCCTCCGCAGTAAATTGCAGCGGCCCAGAACAGTAGAACTATGCATGTAATAGGGTCAAGGTCAATGCTTTCGATCTAGGGTTCGCAGGCTTATGCCTTGTAACAATCATCAACACTGTAAACGCCAGAGCCCACGCCCCCAGCCAGTCAAACTCCAAACCTCTGTAACTTGAAATTCGAAACAGCCCAAAACCGTTGAACCCTAGAACTTTCACCTACCCGAAAAATTGAAGTTCACCCAATCCCGAAACTCTCATAAGCCCGCAACAGAATATGGACCTATGAGCAGTAATATCCGAAGCACGAGAAGCTATAAACCCTGAAATCCAGAGCCCTACACTCGCAATCACTGCAGCTTCTTTCAGGCCTTGAAACATCCGTACAACCAAAAAACGACGTGATCTTAAAAGAGCACCATATCCCTAAATTGGGGAAACTAGCCTACATCATACTAGGATCCCTAATCATGATCTATACGTATATTCCTGCATTCAGGGATATAGGGCTGTCCTAAACCCTAATCAATCCCTTAACCCCATAAATCCAAACTAAGGGATATTGGGCTGTCCTCAAGCTTAATGCCTCAACCCTTTAAACCCTAGTTAAGGGATGCTGGGCTTTCTGGGTGATCTTACCCTAAACCCTAAACCCTAAACCCCTAAACCCTAAAAGGAGCCAGAGTACGGTGCGAGGAAGCTCAGAGGACTTTGGCTGCCTGCCGGGCTTCTGATTTGTGCCATAGTCTACACCCCTTGAAGGGGGATCATGTAGGGGGTTATATGAGCTGTAGTCTAAACTCCTGTATCCCCTTTAGTAACCCCTATAAGAGTCCCCTATATAACCCCCTATGAAACCCACTTTGAGGAGTTTAGACTATAGCTCATATAGGGGATTATTAGAAGGATGGTTAAGGAGGCACTATGCGTTTGGACTATGGGGCCCTTGTATAATCCACCATCAATTGCATCTCTATGCTGTTTTCTCCCTTACTTCCAGTAAGGCGTCTGAAGATGCCAGGTTGTCAAAGCAGGTTTGATTTCGGCCTGAATCTTGATAGATATCATGTTGTTGTCTAGTTGAGATACCCTACACTGTGCTTAAACAAAGAACCTAGGACCATAACAGTGCTAAGTACTTGGGCTTCGACATTATTGAGCTGGGCCAGGGGTCCAGGGAATTCGGCTTCAGGGTTTACTAGGGTATCAAAGTTGCTGGTAACCTACCCCTGTTTAGGGTCTAGATCCCAAGAAAATGTTTCTCGACATCAGAGTGTTCTTTACAAAGCCAGGTGTAATGCCGCACTGAGGGCCATTAAGCAGGGTCTAGATGCCAAGAAAATGTTTCTCGACATCAGAGTGTTCTTTACAAAGCCAGGTGTAATGCCGCACTGAGGGCCATTAAACAGGGTCTAGATCCCAAGAAAATGTTTCTCGACATCAGAGTGTTCTTTACAAAGCCAGGTGTAATGCCGCACTGAGGGGCATTCCAGGGATCCCCCTCACATATTATAGAGGTCATCATGTGGTTCAGGTTGGGCAGAATGACAGGTCCACATGCAACACCAGGCCAGAATGGGGTTGGAGGTGGGGACCTGGAGGCAGCATAGAAAACAGGCGAGAATGCTGCATCGTTGCACCTAGGTGCCGTAAGTCAAATTAAATGTCCCCCCAATGTCCAAACCTACTGGAAGCGTAAGGGATCTTCCGGATGTGGGGCAATGACCTGAACTTTAGGCTGTGATTAGGCGGGCCCGGCAAAAGAAGACCTGAACCGAGCCCACCGCACGCTGAATCCCAGACCCCAAACCCCACAGCTGCCTTGCAACGAGCGCCACAGCTCCTCCCGAGGCGGCAGCAAACTCGATGAGCAATCGCAGGTACTGCCCGACTATGGCCAATCCTTATCTGTTCTGCTGGCTTTTCTTGCCAATATAACTGTTTGAGCTGATTTAGAAGATTGGAAACATCATATTCAAACTGCTGCTTGAGGTCTATCTATCTAATCTGTATATACACAGATGCATATGATATAAGTGTGTCGCTGGGCTTTCACGATGAACCAAATTAGGAATCGCATGCCAACATGCCCTGGAATCGTGGCCCTGGTGTTACAGGAGACTGCGCCGGCGCTGCAGGGGCTCCGTCAAGGTCAGCCGCTGTCGTTAACAGCATGAGATGCAAGCAGAGCAGATGCAAAGAGACCTCGACAATGTAAAGCAGCTGTGAGAAAGTAGCAGGCATACCATCAAAGTGCAGCTGCTCTCCATGCCCCCCTTGCCCATCAACTGTTGGCTCTAGGCTGTCTCCGTCGCTGCGCGTGGGAAGCGCATCTGCCAGTCTGAGGCTCATCAGGTTACAGCAAGCATGCACAAAGACTGCGCACAAGACGCTGGAGCGGCCCTTCACCTGCGCAATGACAGATTGGGACGTCTCACCTGGATCATTTCAAAGTCCGATGAAAGGGGACGCCGTCATCGTTAATGGATTTTTTGACCCGATGCCACTAGAACACTCGAAAATATGCCCAACAAGGACCCAGTCGCCGCCTTGATTCGAGGCAGAGGCTTGCAACTGAAAGGGCCCTTGCTGCCACAGCGACCATGCACTCTGCATGTCAGACTGCGTTGCCTGGGGATTTTTGTTGGCCAGCGTCTTGATGTGCTGGGTGATGCTGTCGTACCTCCAAACCTGCGGGGACCGGGGACTGAATTTTGAGATCCCTGTTAGGGGATGACTACAGTAAGGGCTATAACATACGTATGAGGGGTCCCCTTTTCGGAAGTCCCCACCTGCAGAATGTTGGAGATGATTCTATGCTGAGTCGATTCTGCGGGCCGCAGAGCCTCAAGCAGCAAGGCGTTGTTATTCGTGTCTGTCATCGCGTCTGCGTCTGGAACAGAAGCGCTCGCAACTTGCGTCAGCAAACCGGGCAAGGAAGCATGGATCATTGGCTCCAACTTCTGCAACTGGGCCTGGTACATGTCAGCCTTCCCTGCAGCATATCTCCTTCTCCGTGCAGCTGAGATGTGAACGAGGGACCACAGTTCCACGAACAAGGCAACGCATCTGTGGCAGAGCGCGATGCTGTCAGAGTGCTTTTCTGCGTCCGCACTGGCAGCCGTGCTGCTGCCGCTCATCGAGGAGCGTCCGCTCAGCCAAAGTGCGAGCCCATCTATGCAGAGATCGTTCACCGGACTCGGAGCAGTTGGAGACCTACACACAACTAACATGGCATCCGGCCCTTCCCTGCCAGCACTTCTGCCAGTTCGCGCAGCAAGGGCTGCGACAACTGTGTTGGGCGTCATGCCACCGGATGACCGCGCCCTGGGTTCGGAGGATGTCGAGATAGGCAGCCGCGTCACCCATTGCGTCACGTCAAGCAAAGGCTGCAGATTCCTCTCCAACCACTGCAACGCACTCTGAAGCACCAGGTTGTGCGTCGGCAGTACGCCCAAAACTGCCACCAGAACCTGTAGGACACACACCAGGGCGGCGGGGTGAATAGTGTCCAGCGCATGCAGTCCCGTCGGAGCCAATCTCATCCTATGGCCTTGTAGCATTTCTGGCCGCAGCACAGCAGACAGCCCTCCAGCTTCGAAGAAGGCACTCGCAGATTCGGGCGACTGGCAAAGGATCCCTGCCAAAGCAGCACCTTGCAGATGTCTCAAGCTAGAGTCTGACATAGCTTGTGGCCCTGCTTGTATGAGCTCCTCGGTGGTCAAGAAACCATTTTGCAACAAGCACACCCCTTTTCTGATTGATGAATTGCAAGTATGAAGGAACCCGGAAGCTCAAAAGAGAAAAACGGGTACCACTGGGCTTCCGAAGCTCCGAAAGTTGGCGCCAGAGCGGCCCAGAAAACACACTGGGTAACTGTCGAGCCGGCACTCGCGTCATCAGCGCACAAAGCAGTGGCAGCGAAACACCTGCAACCCCACTGCTGCAACCCTGATGAGCATACCTTGCTTCTACACATGAGAATATACACATATATATATATATA